AGTTGCAGGTTGGGGATTGTGATACCCCCTGCCATGTCTCTGTTACCTATAATTGCACATCTACATTTTTGAAAGATAAAAGTTCTTGAGATCTAACCTTTGGTGACTACTCATGTTTTGGTAGTCCATTGTGGTTATTGATTAATCTTATTTAAAGATATAGGGCCGGGGATTTAGCTCAGTGGTTCCACTGCCTGCTGTGCAAGCACAAGGACCCGAGTTTGATCCCTGGTACCAAAAAAAAAAAAAAAAAAAGATATAGATTGTCTATCATAGTGGGGTTTTTTTGTTTTTGTTTTTTGTTTTTTGGTACCGGGAGTTGAACTCAGGACCTTGCACTTGCGAGACAGGTGGTAGAACCAGAGCTAAATCCCCAGCTCTCATCATAGTGTTTTTAGATAACCACATTTACAAAGTAGGTACAGATGAGTACTAACTATAGTGATATGTATTTATGCATTTTGAACTTTATGAATACAGTTTGCGAATATCTGTTATACCCATGTAATTAGCATATCTGAGTATGTTTGCAAATATATGTATGTTATTATTTCCTATTTATTGTGTGAAGTGACTTGTGCTATATTCTATCATGTTTTTATATGTTTTGTGCTGGGCACTGATCAGACCCCCAGATACCTGTCGGGGTGGGGGTTGACAAGGAATAAAGAAAGACAGAGACAAATTTCAAAGTTTAGGGGCCTCTTGAGGAGATATACCTCTAGTGGACACTCTTAACAATCTTTCCAGTGAACCTACTTTTATTAGGAAGCAAGAAGCTCAGGGGAAGGGGTAGAGTACTTTTTATGGAACAGCAGCAGCAGTAGTAAATGTGTAACTAGTGAATGGGGAACAAGTTAATGGGCAACAGGTCCTTCCCTCTACCCGGATGCTTGTATTCTTTGTATTGTCCTCAGCAGATGTCATCTTGTCTCAGGAGCACTGTGTTTATGGGTTTTCTGCACACAGCCATTAAGCCTGTGGTTTTCTATTAATTTCTCTGGTTCTGAAGCAAGTTGTATCAGCTTTGGACCCTATTGCCCTCAAGTCACATAGCCTGGTCCCCAACAGTTTTGCAAATAAATTTCCTATTAAAAATGTGAGGGGCCGGGGATTTAGCTCAGTGGTTTCACTGCCTGCTGTGCAAGCACAAGGACCTGAGTTCGATCCCCAGTACCAAAAATAAAAGAAAAAAAGAAAAAGAAAAAAAAAAAGGTGAAAACTGGGTGTATTGGTGCATGCCTGAAATTGCAGCTGAGGCAAGAGGGTCACCATGCGTTTGCATAATGAGTTTAAGGTCAGCCTGAACTACAAAGTGAGACTCTGTCTCAAAAAGCAAAAAAACAGAGATCCTGAGTGTGTTGCTGAGATCTGCTCCAACTGGTTAGACCACCTTGCTCTGTGACCTCTGTCATCTGCAGGCTGATGACCCTGAAGTCACACAAAGGTGATGGTGTGGGACTGGAGCCCTGAGATGCAATGGGATGTGGATGTGATTGGATGGAAGTGGCCCGAAAGCAGCTATGGTGGACTAGAGCCTCCATGCTCAGCTCCAGAATCTGAGGTACTCTTGGTCTCTGGCCTTGAGTAACTTTCTGTCCCTTCTACCCTTGGCTGGGGCAGGGCTACTCCTGGTTCCCCAGCATTCTGTTCCCACTGTGACACTGCAAGCCCAGAATGGGTCTTGGGCAGCCCCATCCCAGCCACATCTCCACCAGTCTGGGGACAGTGAGGGTCATGGGGAGACCCTGATTTAGGTGGAGTGGGATTGTGGTGTGCTAGTCCCTGGTCTCATTACTCCCAGCAGCAGACCTGGTGAACCTGAAGTATCAGTTTCTGTGATTCAAGGTCTCTAACCTACAACTTGCCTCCTTATGTCTCTGTTTCTTTAGGAAGACAATGAATTCCTAAATTTCCAATGTGTTCCCACATTGCCAAATTCATGATAGGTCTTGATAAAGTCCACCAGAAGCCAAGAAAAGTTTAACATCGCTGGCAATGTGACTTGGCAGTGGACCACTTACCAAGCATGCAGTGAACTCCCAAATTATATACAAGGCAATGCAAAAAAAAAAAAAATCATCTTAATTATTTAGGTGAGATCTCTACTCACAATTAGACTATTTAAGTGAAACCTTCCCTTAGAATTTAGATGCTGAGAAAAATGGAGGATATATTAATGTAGCAAGTGCAGGAGAAAGTGTTCCTGTTAAGGAGACTTTCTAGAAAGGGCTGCCTGTTAAACTCTCACTGAGAAATACATTGTACTGGGGCATCTACACAGAATCTGACTTAGTATGAGTAGAAAAGGAGAGGGGTGTCATCTCCTAAATAATTGCTATAGTTCTTGTATTGTTCCTACATATTGTTTTTAAAACCTGAGGTGCTGATTGAAGTGGACTTTGTATAAATGAGTGCAGCAGTGGTGGTAAAGCCCCAATTGGAAGGTCTGCAGGTGTTGTGGACCAGCCACTATGTGTATAGATTTGTGGGGGCCAAACTACAGGCCCTGCAGTCACAAGGCAGACGTTGACTTGCTTCAGGAATAGGGAAGTTTTTGTGGAAGGGTGCAGGCTTCCTGGATGGGTGGCATGTAACCCCAGCACTCCTGAGGCAAGGTAACTTCTGCTGAGGTCAATACTAAGAAAGCAAGTTCCCAGATGTGGGGAAGGAGCTTAACTTGTTTCCTTTGTGATGCTAAACTTGTTCCTCATTTTACTACCTCATTCTTACAGTTCCAGGAAAAGTATACTACTATTAATAGTATACTACTAGTAAAATAGTATACTACTAATAAAAGTATACTAATCCTAAGTATACTTGCTAATAATAAAAGAGGGCCAGATGAAGCGGTCTTTGTCTTTGCCCAATTTGAGACACTGACCTCCTGGTTCCCCTGTACCTGCAGATTTGTCTTTGTCTTTCTTTATCCCACACCGTACCCCCCTGAACAGGCAACCTAGAGTGTGATCAGCTCTCTGTAAGCAAGCATATCAATGGTTAGCTACATCAGGGCTTTCTTAGTAGGGAGGAGCATAGGGGAGTAGAAAGGTGATGAGAGAGCAAGGGATGCTGGAGGCTAGCAATTAGCATCTACAACAGAAAGCTCTTCTCTGAGTTCAGATTATTCTTAGTGTGACAATAAAGGTAGAGTTTAAAAATATCCAACAACAAAACAAAACAAAACAAAAAACGCCAACCAAACAAAAAGTGAGTACATATCTTTTAAAAATATTTGAAGCTTTCCCCCCAAAATTATATTTTTGAGATTGTATTTTTCTGGTATTTTAGACTTTTGGAATTTTGAACTTTCAATTTTGGGATTATAGGATTCAGGATTATGTCTTTTGGAATTATAGTTCATGCTTGAAGACGACAAATTCTACCAGTGAAGAATGCAGGAACAGCATACATAAAGAGCACCTGGGATTGAGACAGAGCACCTGAGAAGAACCTGCCATTTCTGGACCCTCAACCTGGGCCAAATCTAGATTGTGTTGGAGAGGGCACAGCTGTGCCTCATGATTACAAAGAAATTGCTGTCATGCAGTGTCTGTGGAACTTGCCTAAAATCTACCCTCTGGAACTTGCTGGAAATTCATTCTCTAAGATGCTTGGGCAATCTGTTCATGGGGAGGCATTTCAACTGATGTCACTGGGGGGAGGGGCTGGTAATTGGGAAATCTGCTGGTAATGCAGGAGCCAGGAGCTAAAGAAGACCTTGGTGTTCCAAGAGCTGTACACAGGCTAAGCAGCAGGAAGCAGGAAGCAAAATCCTTAGTTTAACCTGTAACATCCAATACAGGAGAAACATTTAAAGACTGGCTACATTTTTGCTGAGCAGGCAATAAAGGTTGAATTTGGAGTTGAAAGTTCCCCTGTCTACTGGCTCTGCAGACATACTCTTTATGGTGGCAGGATGTGGTCAGCAGCTCCAGGCTTTTTAGCCCTTTTTTTGGGTAAATGTTACTTGGAAGAGAGCATTTTTCCACCCCAGTATTACAACAGATTATGTTTAATGGACTCAGGTTTGTCAAGCAGGTGTCACGTGCTTATTCCTGAGCTACCCACAGTACCCAGGTGGCTTTGTTGCTCTGATTGGCCAGCCCTGAGGTATCCTTAACCTGGAGGGAAGGTGAATCAATGTCACTCCTATCCATGTATAGAGAAAATTCAAAGGAAATTTAAGTAGTCAAAACTAGAAGGAGGAGGAAGGGCTGATGGGCAGGCGAAACGGTACTGCACTGGGGATTGTTGGGAGGAGAGGAGTGGGGCCTGACAGGACTGCATTGCATAGCTTAGCACTTATGGAGCCTGCTGGGAAAGGGGAGCTGAACCGATCACCAATTGGAATCTCTCTTTGAGAAAGTGGAGTTACTAGTAATAGGGCCAGGAAAGAAAAGGACACCTAAGAAGAGGAAAAATTAGAATTGCAGATGAGAGTCTGTCTGTCTGTCTCTCTCTCTCTCTCTCTCTCTCTCTCTCTCTCTCTCTCTCTCTCTCTCTCTCTCTCTCTCTCTCTCTCTCTCTCTTCCTTCCTCTCTGATCAAACCCAGGGGTCACACATACCAGGCAACCACTCCCCCATGGAGCTACACCCAAAACCCTCTGCCTCTATTCTCTGGGTGTTGGTAAAATTCATTCTTACTAGATCCTCTCAGGAAGGGGGTTCTAAGATGGAAATGGACCCATCCTAGGTTGTTCATTTCTGGAAAGGAATTGCTATCCCATCCTCTGATCCCCTACTTGGAGGTGAGCCTGGCAGGCTGGCGAGGCTTGGCTGCCTCTGAAGCAGGGTCAGGAAAGTTGGTTCTTACCCAGTTAGAAGTGGAGCCAAGACTCCCAGACCTGCTGGAGGTAGCCAGTGAACTCAGGAATTTTATTCTAAGAGGTCATCTAAACAAGGTAGTGATGAGGTAGGAAGAAAGAGAAGAGAGGAAAGAGATCAGAAAGCAAGTAAAGACAGGAATGGGAAAAGGCAAGTCAAAAGGAGTTGCTGCAGGATGTTCCAGGAATTTCTGAGCAACTCCATGCAAGATCAGAGACAGGAAGCTGTACCCAGAAATGCAGATACATCTGAATGAACTTCACCAAAGTCAGAGAAAATACCACACTATTCAAATCTTTGATAGTTTACATATCTTTTTGACACATGTGTCATCCGTATGAACAATTCTGTGCACTCCTTTCACTTCGTCTTCATAAAGCTTTTCCAGGATCAACACGGTCCACATTCTTGGATTTATAATAGTTTTATGATATTTATTTCTGTTTAGCCATTTCTGATTGTGAGTGGGTTCTTTTTATTTTTTTCAGTACCAAGAATTGAACTCAGGACCTTGTGCTTGCCAGGCAGGCGAAGCTCCACTGAGCTTCACTGAGCAGGGGCCCCTGGAAAAACTAGCCCTGGCCCCCAAGGCTGGGAAACGGGCCACCTCCCCAACAGGCAGGAAGCCAGCAATTAAGGGCGCCTCAGGGCCTGGACCCAAAGCCACCACTGCTCCCAAGTTTGGGGGGCCCAGGAGGGGGATGCTGTCCCAGCCAGGAGGGCTGGGAGTCTCTGCAGGCCCAGGCCACTGGTCAAGGCCTCATCTTCATCATCATCGTCATCCTCATCGTCGTCCTCAGAGCCCAGGAGGTAGAGGCCAGCAGGGCAGCTGGTGGCTGGGCTGGAGTTTTTAATCCTTCCAAAGCACAGCACTATTTAACCCTGACCTATTTATCGATAAAGACACTGATTACACACACACACACACACACACACACACACACACACAGAGCTACATCCCCGGCCCCTGTGAGTGGGTTCTTGTATCTTTCTCTGGTAGGTTGGGCTGAATAAGGTGTTGTGAAAACATGTCCGTTAGAGCAACATTCCATCAGGCATGTGTACACCTGGCCTGCTCATCAAAGGCACCATGATTTTGATCAAAATAATCATCCAGAACCTAACTTGTCCAGCTGTTTACCTGTAATAATAACTAAAGGGCCCTGGAACTCAGAGCGTCATAAAAAAATTCAAGGGATTAATTGAGAAAGACCAAGCCAGAATACAAGATAGGAAAAGCATATTATTTATGAGTTATACTACACATTACTATGTAGCAATGATGGCGAACCTTTACAGCTTTCAGTGTTAACAAACATTGCTCTGGCATGCGTGCCATAGGTTCACCACCACTGCCATACAGTTTATAAGTATAAAAATACTGTACAGGGTGCTTCTATGTTAACTTTCGAATGTGGCTGAGTCTTTTGTCTCTGCTGTCAAGTATGATTCCTGTCATCAGGAAGCCAGTTCCCAACACCCGAGGAACCTGTGATGTTCACTCCTTGGTTCTCTGGGTCTCTTTTTTTAAAGTTAATTTTATTAGTACATTTTAGATATAAATAATGATCACATTCATCGTAGGGAGTGTGCACCTGTACATGATATATCTTGATTCTTCTTTTTTTCCCCTTTCCCACCTCCCTTTAACCCCTCTTCCCTCCTATTTACAAAAGCTTTGTTTCTAATTTTACCTTCTGTTCTCTTTTACTTTTCCCTCCCTCCCTCCCTCCCTTCCTTCCTTCCCTCCTTTCTCTCTCTCCTCTCTACCTAGTTCCCGTTCCCATTTGAACATTTTCTTCCTATTTCACAGTATCTATTATACATTTTGGTCCTTATTTACCCTTTTGGTTTCTCAGAGAAGACATGCAATATTTGAATATTTGTGTTCAATTAATTTCACTTTAAGAGTATAGACTCAAGTGCATCCATTTACCTAGAAATAAATGCCTCAAGTTTATCCTTCTTTTTTTTTGTTTGTTTTTTTTAAGTTTAACCTTCTTATGGCAGAATAGTACTCCAGTGTAGAAAAACAAAACACATCTTCATTGTCCATTCATTGGTTGATGGGCATTTGGGATGTTTCCAAGATTTAGCTATTACAAACTGTGTCACTATAAACATGGGTGTGCATATATAGCTGTGGTATGGTGCTTTTAATTCTTTGAGAAGATACCAAGAAGGGGAATAGCTGGGTCAAATGGAACCTCTAGTTTGAGTTTAAAAAATTTTTTTTTTAGTTTGAGTTTTTTGAGGACTCTCCACAATGATTTCCACAGTGGTTGCACCAGTCTGCACTCCCACCAACAGTAGAGAAGGGTTCCTTTTTCTCCACACTCCCGCCAGCATTTGTTATTGGTTGATTTCATGATAGCAGCCATTCTTTCTGGAGTGAGATGGAATCTCAGTGCTGTTTTAATTTGCATCTCTCAAATGACCTGTGATGTTGAACATTTTTTCATATATTTATTTGCCATTTCTACTTCCTCATGTGAGAAATGTCTGTTCATTTCAGATCCTCATTTTTGGATTGAGTCTTTAAATTTGGGGGGGGTCTGATTTTTTTTTATTTCTTTATATATTCTAGATATTAGTCCTTTGAGAAATAGCTGGCAAAAATTTTTACCCTCTCTGTGGGTTGTCTCTTCACTCTGTTGGTGGTTTCTCTTGCTGTGCAAAAGCTTTTTAATAAGACTAGATACCAGTTGTTGATTCTTTGTGATATTTCCTGTGTGATTGGGGTTTTGTTCATAAAGTCTTTGTCTATACCAATGTCTTCAAGATTTCTACCTATTCTATCTTCCAGCAGATTTAGTGTTCCTGTTTTTGTAGTTAGATCTTTGATTCATTTTGATGTTAGTTTAGCGCACGGTGAGGGATATGGGTCTAGTTTTAGTCTTTGGCATGTGGAAAGCCAGTTTTCCCAGCACCATTTATTAAAGAGGGTGTTTTTCTTCCAGTGCAGGTGTTTGTTCTCTGTTTCTTTGATGAAAGATTTTAGACCAGACCCATAGGGCATCATACCGAGTATAGGTAGAGTTTATTGCAAAATGATAGATTTTCAGAGTGATAGATAGAATACACCTTCGAGAACGACAGTAGGCAAGTGCCAAAATGGCAGTTGCATAGGTCACATTTGTATGATTGACTGGGTCTTTCTAGGACTATCATTTCCTTTCTTTCAAGGTCATTGATCTCTTACAAGGAAAACGGGCTTTTATGACTAACTTCTGCTGGAAGAAGTTCCTGTTTACTCCCTAGGTGGAATGTTTCCATTTAGTTGGTTTTGAGACCTTGAGATTTACCCTAATCCTCACCATGGTCTGGACTTTGTACAGACCCTGGACCTTATCAGCACTGTCAGAGGAGGTTACTTACTCTTGGGCCAAGGTTTGAAACCATAGGGTTCTTTGCATTTTATCTATAGCTAATGATTAAGAAAATGAAGAAAAAAAGGAAAAAAAATATCAGGTCTTCTGCTTCTCATGTAGCCCGTCTGTATCCAGATCTGCTAATATCAGACTCTCTGCCTAACAGTTCCTGCTTGGATCATCTGGATTCTGCTGATTTCACTCCTTGCTTCAAACTTTCCATTAATTCCTACTGCTCTTAGAATAAAACCTGGCTTCCTCAAAATAGTCCAAGGAATAACAGTCCTCCAAGGATGACCATATCCTAATCTCTGGAACCTGACTGTGTATGACATGGAAAGGTGGTTTTGCAGATGGGATTAAGTTCAGGATTTTGAGACAGGGAAATTATCTTGGATTATCTGGATGGTCCAAAGTAATCACAACTGTCCTTGTAGGAGGGAGGAAGTAAGGCCAGAGTCAGAGAACGGAGATGTAAGGATAGAGTGGGAGCTGGAAGTGATACGGGGCTATGAACTAAGGAATGCCAGTGGCTTCTAGAAGCTAAAAGACAAATAAATAGATGATTCTGCTCTAGATCTAGAGCAAGAGAGAAGTGTAGAGGAGTATGTCTGGTTAACAATAAGGTCCATATTATACAACTGACTGTCACAGAATAATAGTTTCCTGAAAATCATTGAGTACAATGTAATCACATTATGAACCATAATATTCATATGCCTCTGCTCATAGGCCTCTGATTTTGTATATACCTATAGTGGATTTAATAGTGGCTGCCAGAAAGATATATTCAAATCTCAGCTTGGTGTTGTGGCACACACCTGTAATCTTAGCACTAGGGAAACTAAGGCAGGAGGATAACCTTGACCTCAAAGCCTAAGCTACATAGTGAGACCCTGTCTCAAAAAACTAGAAAAGAAAGAAAACAAATGTTCAAATCACAATCTTCAGAACCTATGAATGTGTCCTTATTTGGAAAAAAAGTTATTTACAGATATAATGATGTTAAAGATCTCAAGATAAGATCACTGGATTTTGAGTGATCGTATCACCAGATCCAGTGATGGGTATCTTTATAAGAGAAAGGAAAAGAGAGAGAATGGAGGTACAGAGAGACAAGAGGTGGGGTGAGATAGATGTAAAGCTGAAGGTGGAGACTGGGATTGTGCTGCCACAAACCAAGGAACTCCATCGAGCCACCACACACTGGAAGAGGTAAAGGAAGGATTCTTTCCTAAATCCTTCAGAGGTGGCACAGATTCTGGCCTCCAAAACAGGGAGAGAGTAAGGTCTGCTGATTTTGGATACCTCAGTCTGTGGTAATCTGTCCAGGCAGCTACAGGAAGTCAGTACAGTAATCTTCCGTAGACTCCTCTATTATGCCATAAATCATTCTGATCCTACTGCAGACAAAAGTCACCTTGCCATTCTTTCCCGTCCTATCCTTCTGACATTTTAGCTGGTGGTGATCTTTTCTGTTTGCTCCAGTGCTTTAATGACCCACCTGTACACATTTCTTTGTATGCTTTGGTTTTAGCACACACAGTACAAACAACCCTAAGATTGAAAATGTTTAACAACTGAGTTGGCATAGTGATAGAAAATCCAAATGGACCACAGCTGCAGAGATGCAGCCAAGTCCAGGAGCCCCCTCCCAGGCCAGGTATTGCCCTTTAGCAGCTGGACTGTGACAACCAGATATTGACAAAACTGCTGGTGTCAATTCTTACTGTGTCCCAGGATCCATGCTAAGTGGACCATTTCTTTGAAACTTCACCACAACCCTATGGGTGAGGAAACTGAGGCCTAGAGATTCAGTATTGTCCTTGAGGTCACTCAGGTATTAAGCAAGTGACAAATGGTCTGATTCTGGAGGCTATGCTCTGCGGTGGTGTATGTGAAAAAATGTCTGGAGAAAACCATTTCTCTACAGGGTATCTGGAGTAAGGCATACTTAGAAAAAGGATGCATCTAGTCTGGAGGCCCTCAGAAATGGAAACTAGTTACTTCAGAAAATGATGCCACAGGGGACCCTAGTAACTTCATCCTTGATTCCCATTAGAACTGCAGACCTAAGGGCTGGGAAGGACGCCTCAGTAGGAAGGAGGGCAGGAATGTGAAGCTGTTTTTCCTGCACATACTCGGAGGAGAAATGAGCTCTAAGCTCTTAATACAATCAAGTACAGATTCTACAGTTTTCTGGGGAGCTAGGAATTTCAGCCAGGGCCCAGGAGTGTGAACTTGGTAAGATTTCTTGAGCCCTGAGGCCTCCCCACATTGGTTGTTCTTTCCTTACCTGCTTCCCTGAGGTGACCTGCCAAGAAGAGAACATCAAAACTTAGGTTGGGGGGGCATAAAAGATGGGGTTAAAGACAGGGTTAGGCAGGCAAACTTGCACCTCCAGTTTAGAGAGTAGAAGCAAAGTCAAAAATAAGATGGGACGTGGTAGCTTTCAAGAGGGAACAGCCTTAAGCAGCTGGCTTGCCCAGGAGAAGAAAGAAGTGGGGAGGTCTCTTCAGACCAGCCAGAGGTGTGGCCCCAGCGGTGCTCGGGCAGACAGATAGGAGGAGGAGAAACTGAGGGGACCACAAGATAACAAGAGCAGCTGCGACCCTGAAATTTACCACCACCCTCAATGTGGAAGTAGCCATATCTGCCAACAGGAACATTTAAATAACTGTAGTCCCAAGTGATTAATTATTCTATTACATTAGTTGTTGGCAGTTCTGCCACACCATATACAAAAGCTGAGCTATTTCAGTGACTGTTTCTGAGTCATCTTGCCAACTTTTTATATATATTTTCTATCACTTCTATAATCTCATTCTTTCACTCAATGTATACAGATGATAATTATGATCTTTTCTTCGCCTATTTTTTTCCCTGTAATATCCAAATAGCAGCAGCAGCAACAACAAAAATCAGATGTGATTTTCTTGACTATTTTATGGAGATTTTAAAGGTAACCTAAATACTGTGCTTTAGGTTAGATCTGAAATGACAAATTAAGGGCTCTTCTGAGATCTCCAGTAAGCAGAAGTGTATATGGAGAGAGCCTTGTGTATGAAGGGCCTCTCAAAGTGTGTGCCTATCTTATCAAATTTCCAAGTCTTTAAAAACTCTTTTATGCTTAATAGATTCAGCCTGGTGCTGCCAATCAGCTTAGGGTTCTTTTACTCAATTCAGGTGGAAATCACGAATCGGCCAAGTGCAACTCTTTTAGTAGTTCTGATGTCACCAGGCCACACTGGACACCAACAGTTGACATGGCCAGAATACTGCTGGTCTCTGAATCTCTTCAGTATTAACAGCTCTGTTTAGAACATTTTTTGGAGCCCACATAACCCAAGAAATAAATCATGAGCAGGTTTACAGAAACACTAAAGCAAATCTTTATTCTAACAGGACTTGTGCTGAACGGGAAGAAGGCCTCCCGGACTAAAACTCAAGAAGGGCTTGAGGCGCCACTTCTGTAACATCTTGCAGACCTGTTTCAGTGAGGATGATCCCTGAAACCGGAGAATCTTCAGGAAGGCTTGCTAAGGACTCTGGGTATGCAAATAAGGGGCCTAGATTCCCTCCTTCCTGATTTTAACCACTCCCAGGTAACCTGTTCTCAACAGTGGCTGGAGTAGTGGAGGGGGCCTATACTGCGCTCACATTGGAGTGGACAGTGGTATTTGACTTCCAGGGAGGACACGGAAGCAAAGTGCCCCAGTCCATTGGGGTGCAAGGTGGAGCAAAGGTGAGGGAGGGGGAGGGGCGTGCTGGCTGTTACCCTCCCCCTACAGCCAGCCCAGGGACAAATGAGAAAGACAGGCGCATCGCTCCCACAGACGCTGTCTCCACTGGCTGGCCTCACTGTTCCTGCAGGCCCTGCTGCCTGAAGCCGAACCTGCAGGCCCAGATCTGCACCCTGCCGGAGTGGACGCTGCTCCTCAGCAGCCTGAGCCCCGCACCGCCCGTGAGGACCGGCTCTCCTATCGGTTCAAGCGCTTTGGAAGATCAGCCTGCGTCTGTTGCCACTGGCCTCGCCTAGCTGGGGCGCGCGTCCTCTGCCTACTTGGGCGAGGCCGCCCTGACCCGCCCGCCGCTGCTGCTGCTGCTGCGGAACGCCGGCTCAAGGGGGAGCCCGTGGCGGGAGCGGCGGGAGCAGCAGCAGCGCCCGCCGGCGCCTCCGCGCCGCCCCGGGGCCACCCGCCCCGCCAACCCACTGGACTCCCCGCCGCTGCCCTGGGGATCCCCAGCTGCCGCCCGGCTCTGCAGGAGTCCCGCGCCCGCCACGCTGCCCTGGACTACGACTGCGGACGCCCCTGTGGCCGCCCGGCGGAGTGCGAGGGGGACCTGATGGCCGAGGGCGACCAGTGGGCCACCAGAAACCTGTTCATCGGAAACCTGGACCACACGGTGTCGGAGCTGGAGCTGCGCCGGGCCTTCGGGAAGCACGGGAAGCACGGCTTCATAGAGGAGGTGGACATCAAAAGGCCGGCCCGAGGGCAGGGTGCGGCCTGTGCCTTGCTGAGGTTCCAGGACCGGGCCGCGGCCCACAGGGCTAAGGTGGCCATGTCAGGCCGCGTCCTTGGCAGAAGTCCCATTAAGGTGGGTTACGGCAAGGCCAACCCCACCGCTCGCCTCTGGGTGGGTGGCCTGGGACCCAACCCCTCACTGGCAGCTCTGGCCCGGGAGTTTGATCGCTTTGGAATCATTCGGACCATCGATCACATTAAGGGAGATGACTTTGCCTACATCCAGTTCGAAACCCTGGACGCAGCTGAGGTCGCCTGTGCTGAAATGAGGGGCTTTCCTGTGGGTGGTCCACACCGCAGGCTTCGTGTGGGTTTCGCCAGAGCAGAGGAGACGCGGTATCCCCCGCAGTACCTGCCCTCACCCCTCCCTGTGCACCGAGAGCTTCTCGAAGATGGATATACCCGGCACCCAACCCTGGATGCCGACCTGCGGGTGCGAGATAAGACCCCCCCATACCTGTGCTTAGACCGAGACCGGACCTTTTTGGAAGGGGACTGGACCGGCCCCAGGAAGAGCGCTGATGCCAGAAACAGCCTGGAGGGGTTTAGCCGCTCAGTGCGCAGTCGCAGTGGTGAGCGCTGGAGAGGGCACAGAGACAGAGGCCTCCCCAAGCCCTGGGAAGACAGCGGGGAGGACAACCGTGGGAGGACAGCCCACTGCGCTTATGAGGAGCGGAGCTGGGCCAAGGGTGGTAGGCAGCAGTATGACTGCGAGGTGAACCACTTTGATGCTGGGACCAAGGAATCAGGCAGCAGCTCCCTCAGCAACAGCAGACATGGGGCTGAGGAGTGGGGCCACCACTTCCACCGCGGAGCTCCAGACTCTTCCTATGGGAAGAAGACAAGAGAGAGAGAGGGCAATTATTGGATCACTGAGGCCGAGCCCAAGCCTCTTGAAGAACCGAAACATGAGACCAAAAAGCTGAAGACTCTTTCAGAGTACGCTCAGACACTGCAGCTGGGTTGGAATGGGCTTCTAGTGTTGAAAAGCAGCTGCTTCCCAACATCTATGTATATCCTAGAGGGGGACCAGGGAGTCATCAATGGTCTCCTCCGAGACCAGACTTCCGGGAGCAAGCTAACACAGCTGAAGATTACCCAGCGCCTTCGACTGGACCAGCCTAAGTTTGACGAGGTCACAAGACGCCTCAGGCAGGGGAGCTCCAATGGCTATGCCGTGCTTCTGGCCACCCAGGCGGCCCCCAGTGGGGCTGGCGCCGAGGGGATGCCCCCCGTGGAGCCTGGCCTACAGAGGCGGCTGCTCAGGAACCTGGCCTCTTACCTGAAAGGGAAGCAGGCTGCAGGGGTGATCAGCCTGCCTGTGGGTGGGGCCAAGGGCAGAGACTACCAGGGCATGCTCTACGCCTTCCCGCCCTGCCACTTCTCGCAGCAGTACCTCCAGTCGGTGCCGGTGCCGAGGACGCTGGGCGAGCCGGAAGAGGAGCACATGCTGATAGTGATAGTGACAGGCACAGCCCGGCCCAAAGCTGCCTTTTCCAGCACCACATCTGCATCACAAAAGCAGTTACTTTAAAATTGGATTCCTTTTGGCCTGTTAGTCTGGTTGTTAATCTGTATGTATGACAGTTAACTTTATAAGGAATTATAAGATAAATGAATCTGATGCTAGCAAAAAAAAAAAAAAAGAAAAAGAAAAAAAGAAAAAGGAAGGGAGGTGGAGAAGAGGAAGAAAGACTCTAAATGTATTATGTACCTGTACCAGTTCCCCACAATGAATGCAGTCATTTTGTACTTCAAACATACTAATAAACATTATTTTAAAAAAGAAAAAGTAATCTGCTTTCTTCTCTACCTGCTCCCTTGGTTTGAATTCTCTGCTGCATTAATTTGGTTCATTTGGTGGGGATCAAAGTTCTGTCCACCACTAAAACCAAGTTGTTAGATTTTGGGGGAATAGTTTTTAGAACTCGCAGTATGTTGACTTCTAATGAATATATGAGATACTGTGTGCTGTATTCTTTTTTTTTTTTTCTAACTGTATGGAAAGTTGTCAGTAAAACCTTTGTCAGAGGATCAATTTCTTTTTTTCTTTTTTCGGTACTGGGGATTGCACTCAGGACCGTGTGCTTGTGAGGCAGGTGTCGGCACCACTGAGCTAAATCCCTGGCCCAGGATAGATTTCTAATAAGGCAGAGAGCTGCAGGGCTTTATTTAGAAAGACAGAGGGGAAAATTATGGTGACTTAAGACAAAGTAGATTTATATTGCTGAGAAGACTGTGAGCCACATGTTTTATTTGCAACATGATTTCCGGAAGATGTACCTTGGCAAATTTTAATCATTATTGTAATTGTTATTTTGGTGATACTGGGGGTTAAACCCACGGCCTTGGCACTGCACCACATCCTCACCCTTTTTTATTTTTTATTTTGAGACAGGGCTTCACTAGGTTGCCCAAGCTGACCTCAAACTCTCAATCCTCTTGTTTTAACCTCCTGAGTAGCTGGGATTACAGGTGTGCACCACCATGCCAAGCTTCCTTGGCAACTTTTAAACATTATCATGCCATTTCTTTAGGGCCTCTCTAGCTGTTCAAATGTAGTGATGTGAGAATTGTAATTGGCGAGGGAGAGAAAGAGTCTTGCTCCTCTGATTGAAAACTGTTTCTCCAGTCTGCTCTTTCTGATGTCATTGAAACAAACTCTCCAGTTGACTCAGCCACCCTGGTTGGAACAGTGTTGCACACATTCAGAGGAACACACACTTCCTCATCCATACAACCACATTAGGAGGATAGACACTAACTTTGATTCAGCCGGGGCTTTTCCATCCACATGCTTCACATACACCAGGCGTCAGGCCCCTGGGAACTGTCTTCACACTGCCCCACAACTGCTCCTCAGCTGTGCCTAACCTGACTGCTCAGCACATAGTTCTGAGACCAGCTTGGATCTCAGAGTGGGACAGCCACCCATTTGTCCAGGCACATGCTCCGAAATGACAGATGTCTACAAGTCAATGCCTGAGGAATGGCACTCTTCAATGGCTGGAAATCTGGAATATTCTCAGTTTTTGAAGATTTTCCTAGAAGCTGCAGATGGTGATTTTGTTCTTCGGTCATTCTAGTAAGGATATGGATCATGCTCTTTCTTTCTTTCTTTCTTTCTTTCTTTCTTTCTTTCTTTCTTTCTTTCTTTCTTTCTTTCTGTACTGGGGATTGAACTTAGAACCTTAAACTTGCAAGGCAGGCATGATGCCACTGAGCTAAATCCCTGGCCCTGGATCATGCTGTTTCTGATGACTATGCTCAATGCACTTTGGGCTTCATTTAACTGTATTTTGAAATCAAAGTGCATGTGTTTGAAAGAACTGAAAGTAACACAAGTGTGACTGATCATAGTGTTAGCAACATTAATTATGAATGTTTTGGTGAAAAATCAATAGAAAACCCAATTCATACTGACTTAAACAATAAAAGGGATTCATCCTGTCACCTAAGAAGTTCTGAGGCAGTTCAGGCTTTGGATAAGGCTTGATGGCATCAAGGGTCTTTTGTCTTTTCTTCTCTCTGTTCTGGCATCCACTGTAGGAGCTGCATTATAGAGCAGACTTCTCTCCTGGTCCCAAGGTAGATGCAACAGTCCTGGAGTTATATGATTCCTTGTTTATGTTAGCAGGAGGGAGAACATATCTTCCTTTGGTTGTCAAATGTGTTTCTGGGCTTAGTTCTGATGGGACTGATGATTGTATCCAGGAGTATGGGAGCCCCTGCTGGGCATCAACCAGTTTATCCTTGAAGTATAGAGAGTGTTAATCTCATCAAAAGTCTTTTGCTGAGAGTTGGGTAGGAATGTTGCACAAAGGAAATCTTTTCCTTTTTTTTTGGTACTGGGCATTGAACTCTGGACCTTGTGCTTGTGAGGCAGGCACAGTGCCACTGAGCTAAATCCCCAGCCCAGAAATACTTTATTTATGAACATTGACCCCTTATAAAGAGTTATACCAAATAATAAGCGCAGAATTAGAATTTGAGGCCGTGTCTACCTGACTCCAAAATGTTTTTGCTTTTATTTGAAAATAAATTTTAAGTGAAATCATACTTAAATTTTTCTCTTTTCATAGGAGTATGAATGATATGTTTATGCAAGTATACTAGAAAAAATATATTGCATTTAAAATAGATTCTCTTGGCAATATTTAGATTCAAAATTTCTGTTGAATTTTATTTAATTTGGCACCAAGTTTTAAAAACTTGATATAGTGTTCTAACTTTGCAGATTGTACACTTCTTTTGAGCTAGTTTTGTAAAAAGCAAGCATGTTCAATAACTGCTTGTTAAGGTTAATGTTCTGTCATTTATAGAAGTTAATGTTCACAAATGAAGTATTTATTATGTAATTTGCCTCTACTGACAAAGAAAGTAATGTGCAAATAATTTAGGAATTTGCTACAGAAGAAAGCAGACATTGTGCCTTTTTGTGTATGAGTATTTGGATAGGATTTATACTTCACGGCAAAACTTACTCATGGTTGGTTGTGCCTTGTGTTTTTTTTTTTAAAAAGAACAATTCACAATTATTATAAAAGATAGGTAAATACAGAGAAGAAAAAGAGGGGGAAAATTATACATAATCCTATCAAAGATAAAAAAAATCCACACTGAACTCTGGGCCTTCCTACTTTCTTTTTTTTTTTTTCCAGTACCAGGAATCGAACTCAGGACCTTGTGCTTGCCAAGCAGGCACGGTGCCACTGAGCTATATCCCTGGCCCTAATTTTTTAAACAAGATCTCACTGTGTCGCGAAACTGCCCAGGCTGAGCTTGAACTTGTGAACCTCCTGCCTCAGGCCCCTAGAGTGCTGGAATCAGCCATATGCACCATGCCTGGCTAATAGACATCTTTGATATGTCTTCTTTGTATTAAAGGTTACAGAATTTACATGTCATTCACTAACCTACCTATAATTTATTTTAGTGTAGAATGTTGAGCCTTGTATTTCTGATAAAACAAGGTAAGCATAAACTTAATTCTTTAGTTTCTAATAAGATAAATCAATGATATCCTTGTTAGAAATATATAAAGTTAGTAAGCCAAATAAATCCCTGATCAACTTATACCCATCATTGGGAAAAATTCACAGGACTCTTGATGTATACTACGTTCAAATGTTAAAACTCCCAAGATTAAAATCAAATTTCTGCCAAGAAAATTGAATTAAAAATATGAATTAAGTGTCTCTCTTTAAATTTAAATGTCATTTTTTTTTTTTTTTTTTTTTTTGGTACCGGGGATTGAACTTGGGTCCTTGTGCTTGCACAGCAGGCAGTGAAACCACTGAGCTAAATCCCCGGCCTAAATGTCATATTTTGATTCTAAGGTGAGCCAGTTTGACAGATGGTAAAAAGAGCAGTAGTCTGAGAAATATGATTTACAACAACTCTTTCAAGAAATGCATTGAAATGCCTGCCAAAAAGCTTCTGAAATAACTCCCTAAGCTTAAATTCCAACTTCTCCAAGACACACATGCAATATCTTTTGCCTTTTTTCTTGTTGAATAGATTTCATTTTTCAAGAGCAGTTTTAGGTTCACAGCAACACTGAGTGACAGGGCAGAGCATTCCCATCCACACATTTTCCCACCTCTCCAAACCTTCCTGACCATCAACATCCTGCACCTGAGTGGTAAGTCTGTAAGGACACAGGAAGCTACGCTTACATGTCAGTCTCACCCCAAGGCCATCATTCACGTGAGAGTCCCTGGATGTCATGTGTTCTATGGATTTGGCAAAATTATAACAGGTGTGTGTTTACCATTATAGTATGGTACCGTGTTATCACAGACATAAAACACCTGTGCTCCCTCTAACTATTCATCTCTACCATCCTGCTAACACCTGATAACTACTGATCTTTTTACTACCTTACAATATTTTTATGAGAACTTTCTGTCATTTGGGAACTTCCTTAAATGGATTTTCTAAGAGCTGACTATAAAGGCCTCTGATGAGACATCATAGAACTATTTTTCTATGTCAGACCCCTTCGGGCTTCAAAGCAAAACAGTGTGGAATGCTAGAATTTGGGAATGTGATTATAATATATTAATGTTAGTAGTATTTTGGTACTGGGGATCGAACTCAGGACCTTGCACTTGCGAGGCAGGTGCTGGAACCACTGAGCTAAATCCCTGGCCCTATAATATATTATGAATTGGGGATAGGGACCAGGAATTTAATCCAGGGTCTTGTATATGCCAAGTACACATTCTACTACGGAGCTGTACACCAGCCCTTGTTATAATTTGGCTCATTCTCTTTAAGTGGTAAATTTTTTTTTTGGTACTGGGAATTGAACTTGGGACCTTGCACTTGTGAAGCAGGTGGCGGCACCACTGAGCTAAATTCCCAGCTCTACATGGTAAATTTTTATAAGGAATATAATATCTGTTCTTACTTCATTCAGCCCATGATCCACAGCAAAAGTGATTTTGCCAAACTGCTTTGTAGGTCACAGTGCCCGACAAAGCCACAAATATTTCATATTTAAATACCTCATGTATGGTGGGTTACTTTATCACAGACAGGGAGCATGTTATCTTTCTGTTGGCTAGGGAATTAAAAAGAACCATAAAATATATTGTTTTAAAATCATGTAGCTCTCAGTCTGGGCCTATTTTGAGATTGGATATTTAAGACAATTTCCCTAATTTGTCTTGCATTATTCAGTATTTTTGTTGTTGTTGTTGCTGTTAAGGATTAAACCCAGGGCCTCATGCTAGGTATGTGGTCTACCACTGAGCTATACCTCAACACCTTTGCTTTTTGATGAAG